ATATATGCAGCCAATCAACTACAGTATTAACTACATATATTAGTAATAAATTGGAGGTGCCTTATCTTATTGTAGAGCAGGCTTAGTCCACCAGGTATAACTAGAATGTAGACACCAAATTATCCTCGTGTGAGGCTAGCTTCCATCACCCAAGTAACTGATATACCAAGTCTTGCATCCTCTTCTTGTTCATGTCAAAGGGCAATAGCTATAAAGCTGGAATCCTAATATATGACGGCTATATAAGAGAAAACATTCTATAATAAATTATAAGGACCAAGGCCTAATTACCTTTATTAAGAGGCTCGTTCGCGTTCTAACCGGTTCGCCCTTATATACCTAACATTAACAGGCCAGAAATGATTAGATAAACGGGTTTCAGTAGGACACTTCCCTTGTTTATGTTGACAGCGTGTTGATGATGCTAAAACATTTTGATCTCCATAACACTTCGTCCAAGAGAAATTAAGGGAGGTGAATTTGCTCCCCTGCGCCTCTAGTCTTAACAAACATTGGCTGACCCACCACCACTGACGCCTTGGCTCTCCTTGTCCAATGTCAATAAGTGATAGAAGGGTCACATTTACTCTATTTTGATACTGATAATTAAGTTAATTCAAATGAGATTTTTTATGATGAAATAAGTCCAAAGGCTAATATATTTAAGAATAATTCCCAACAGAACAGCTGGTGAATAACCCTGGGTCAGTTATATCCCTGGGTCAGTTATAACCCTGGGTCAGTTATAACCCTGGGTCAGTTATAACCCTGGGTCAGTTATATCCCTGGGTCAGTTATCACCCTGGGTCAGTTATATCCCTGGGTCAGTTATATCCCTGGGTCAGTTATAACCCTGGGTCAGTTATAACCCGAGGTTAGTTATAACCCTGGGTCAGTTATAACCCTGGGTCAGTTATAACCCTGGGTCAGTTATATCCCTGGGTCAGTTATCACCTTGGGTCAGTTATATCCCTGGGTCAGTTATCACCCTGGGTCAGTTATATCCCTGGGTCAGTTATATCCCTGGGTCAGTTATAACCCTGGGTCAGTTATAACCCTGGGTCAGTTATAACCCTGGGTCAGTTATATCCCTGGGACAGTTATAACCCTGGGTCAGTTATAACCCTGGGTCAGTTATATCCCTGGGTCAGTTATATCCCTGGGTCAGTTATATCCCTGGGTCAGTTATATCCCTGGGTCAGTATAACCCTGGGTCAGTTATAACCCTGGGTCAGTTATATCCCTGGGTCAGTTATAACCCTGGGTCAGTTATATCCCTGGGTCAGTTATATCCCTGGGTCAGTTATAACCTTGGGTCAGTTATAACCCTGGGTCAGTTATATCCCTGGGTCAGTTATATCCCTGGGTCAGTTATATCCCTGGGTCAGTTATATCCCTGGGTCAGTTATATCCCTGGGTCAGTTATATCCCTGGGTCAGTTATAACCCTGGGTCAGTTATATCCCTGGGTCAGTTATATCCCTGGGTCAGTTATATCCCTGGGTCAGTTATAACCCTGGGTCAGTTATAACCCTGGGTCAGTTATAACCTTGGGTCAGTTATAACCCTGGGTTAGTTATAACCCTGGGTCAGTTATATCCCTGGGTCAGTTATAACCCTGGGTCAGTTATAACCCTGGGTTAGTTATAACCCTGGGTCAGTTATAACCCTGGGTCAGTTATAACCCTGGGTTAGTTATATCCCTGGGTCAGTTATAACCCTGGGTCAGTTATATCCCTGGGTCAGTTATAACCTTGGGTCAGTTATAACTTTGGGTCAGTTATCACCCTGGGTCAGTTATAACCCTGGGTCAGTTATATCCCTGGGTCAGTTATAACCCTAGGTTAGTTATAACCCTAGGTCAGTTATCACCCTAGGTCAGTTATAACCCTGTGTCAGTTATATCCCTGGGTCAGTTATAACCCTAGGTTAGTTATAACCCTAGGTTAGTTATCACCCTGGGTCAGTTATAACCCTGGGTCAGTTATATCCCTGGGTCAGTTATAACCCTAGGTTAGTTATAACCCTAGGTTAGTTATCACCCTGGGTCAGTTATAACCTTGGGTCAGTTATAACTTTGGGTCAGTTATCACCCTGGGTCAGTTATAACCCTGGGTCAGTTATATCCCTGGGTCAGTTATAACCCTAGGTTAGTTATAACCCTAGGTTAGTTATCACCCTGGGTCAGTTATAACCCTGGGTCAGTTATATCCCTGAGTCAGTTATAACCCTAGGTTAGTTATAACCCTAGGTCAGTTATCACCCTGGGTCAGTTATATCCCTGGGTCAGTTATAACCCTGGGTCAGTTATATCCCTGGGACAGTTATAACCCTGGGTCAGTTATAACACTGGGTCAGTTATATCCCTGGGTCAGTTATATCCCTGGGTCAGTTATAACCCTGGGTCAGTTATAACCCTGGGTCAGTTATAACCCTGGGTCAGTTATAACCCTGGGTCAGTTATAACCCTAGGTTAGTTATAACCCTAGGTTAGTTATCACCCTGGGTCAGTTATAACCCTGGGTCAGTTATAACCCTAGGTTAGTTATAACCCTGGGTCAGTTATAACCCTGGGTCAGTTATAACCCTAGGTTAGTTATAACCCTAGGTCAGTTATCACCCTGGGTCAGTTATATCCCTGGGTCAGTTATAACCCTGGGTCAGTTATCACCCTGGGTCAGTTATATCCCTGGGTCAGTTATATCCCTGGGTCAGTTATAACCCTGGGTCAGTTATAACCCGAGGTTAGTTATAACCCTGGGTCAGTTCTAACCCTGGGTCAGTATTAACCGTAGGTCAGTTATAACCCTTGGTCAGTTATAACCCTGGTCAGTTATAACCCTGGGTCAGTTATAACCCTAGGTCAGTTATAACCCTGGGTCAGTTATAACCCTGGGTCAGTTATAACCCTGGGTCAGTTATAACCCTAGGTCAGTTATAACCCTGGGTCAGTTATAACCCTGGGTCAGTTATAACCCTGGGTCAGTTATAACCCTGGGACAGTTATAACCCTGGGTCAGTTATAACCCTGGGTCAGTTATAACCCTGGGTCAGTTATAACCCTGGGTCAGTTATAACCCTGGGTCAGTTATAACCCTGGGTCAGTTATAACCCTGGGTCAGTTATAACCCTGGGATCAGTTATAACCCTGGGTCAGTTATAACCCTGGGTCAGTTATAACCCTGGGTCAGTTATAACCCTGGGTCAGTTATAACCCTGGTTCAATTATAACCCTGGGTCAGTTATAACCCTGGGTCAGTTATAACCCTGGGACAGTTATAACCCTGGGACAGTTATAACCCTGGGACAGTTATAACCCTGGGTCAGTTATAACCCTGGGTCAGTTATAACCCTGGGTCAGTTATAACCCTGGGTCAGTTATAACCCTGGGTCAGTTATAACCCTGGGTCAGTTATAACCCTGGGACAGTTATAACCCTGGGTCTCTCAGCCCTGATTGTCACAGCCGTCAGTTGTGTGTAGAGCGTCAAGGGGGACACACGCTCTGCGTCACCCTTCAATTTTTAAGGGGAAAGTTCTACTGGCATCGACGAAAAAATCAATAATTAGTAAGGCAAGAAATAGCCGTATAGCAGAAGAGGGGACAGCAGTGGTGCCAAGCTCTGTTCCTGTTCTCTGGGGCAGTGTTCTGAAGCCAGGTGGAACAGCGGTCCTGGGAGTCGAACCTGCTAGAGGTTGTGTTGATCCATCTAGTTTAGATGTCAGGTGCGCCAGGAAGTGGCCTAGTGCACCTGACACTTTGACACCCTTGACACAGGTCAAGTGTCTGTGACCCGGGGTAGGTCAAGTGCTAGTGACCCGGGGCTGATCAAGTGACCTTGGGCTGATCAAGTGACCCGGGGCTGATCAAGTGACCCGGGGCTGATCAAGTGACCCGGGGCTGATCAAGTGACCCGGGGCTGATCAAGTGACCCGGGGGCAGGTTCTGCTGTGTCAGACACTTAACGCTTGCACCGTGAAATTGGATCACACATACCCTGGCTGAGGTCAGGAGAATAACGAGGCGCTTCACTGGGTTGTGTCCACAACACTGATGTGTGATGGGAGTCACGTCTGGTATATGGCTGTTGCTGAGAATTTAATGCAGGTTAAAGTATTTATGTTGACAATTATACGTTTGACAAAATATTTTTAATGAGTCTGTGTTTAATGATTCCAACGTAGACACCATTATAGTTCACGCTACTCACCTATGTATGATGTAGCTCTTGGGCCCCAGTAGTGGTAGTTTCTACTCTCTATATAAATCCGTCGTATTTTGATCCTAGTAAAGTTGGTGTACCTTGAGCTTTCCTGCATCAATTCCTGGACTCGTTAAAGTGTACTTACCTATGTGTACTTAGCTATTCCTAGCTTACCTTTTAGAGTAATTGTTCTCACATATCCACAGTGGCGGCTAGCCCACAGGTGCTGAGCCGCCGTCCGCCTGACTCCCAGCCAGGGGTATGGCCCCCCCCCAACCTGTCCTCTTAAAAATTACGTCGCTTTTGGCCGTTTGCCAGTTTGGTCGAAAGTGGACGTAATTTGAAAATGAAAATAAATTTGGGATTTTTTCACCAACAGTAAGTTAAGGGTCCTCTGATAGGTGGGCAGGAAATTCTCATAAAGTTTCAATACGTTATGAAAAACGTTAATTGAAAGTTTCCTCTACTAACCTTACTGAGTAAGCCGGACGACTCAAACAGAAAACGTGAAAGTACGTCACTTTTGTGAGTCGATATCATTTCAAATTAAGTCCAAATTTGGCCATAGCGCATACGAGTGAAAAGTGATATTATTTTTAAGAGGACGGGTTGCCCCATCAGCCTCACACTACAATAATAACCCACTTACAAATTTGTCATGAAATCTCTTAATATCTTATTTTTAATAGCTATACCTGAATTTTGACCATTTCATTGCAACAAAACAAAAATAGAGATTCCTGTTGAACGATAGTGACACAGTCCCTCCAGTCTGTTATGCCAGCAACCACCACTGCTTATCTTCGCTGAGGGTCCACATCTATCATATCAACATCAGCCTCAACATCTATCACAACAACATCAGCCTCTACATGTATCACATCAACATCAGCCTTCACATCTATCACATCAACATCAGCCTTCACATCTATCACAACATCAGCCTCTACATCTATCACAACAACATCAGCCTCTACATCTATCACAACAACATCAGCCTCTACATGTATCCCATCAACATCAGCCTCTACATGTATCACATCAACATCAGCCTTCACATCTATCACAACAACATCAGCCTCTACTTCTATCACAACAACATCAGCCTTCACATCTATCACAACATCAGCCTCTACATCTATCACAACAACATCAGCCTCTACATCTATCACAACAACATCAGCCTCTACATTTATCACATCAACATCAGCCTCTACATCTATCACAACAACATCACCCTCTACATCTATCACAACAACATCAGCCTCTACATCTATCACATCAACATCAGCCTCTACATCTATCACAACAACATCAGCCTCTACATCTATCACAACAACATCACCCTCTACATCTATCACAACAACATCACCCTCTACATCTATCACATCAATATCAGCCTCTACATCTATCACATCAATATCAGCCTCTACATCTATCACATCAATATCAGCCTCTACATCTATCACATCAATATCAGCCTCTACATCTATCACATCAATATCAGCCTCAACATCTATCACATCAATATCAGCCTCTACATTTATTGACCTCACCCAATAAATGGTCAATTGGGTGAGAAATCTTAACCACTTCATATTCTATAGGAGAAGTATGCACAGCTTAAGTACAACCAGAAGGAGAATAAGGAACCAGTTTCGTTAAAAATACACAACAGTGATTGATTGATTGGTTGACAGTTGAGAGGCGGGACCTAAGAGCCAGGGGCCGGATTCAGGAAGGTACTTACGAAGGTTTTTCCTCTTAGCTAAGAGCGTTTTCCCTCTTAGCGCCTTCGTGGCGGCTACGTTCGTATTCAATTAACTACCCTAAGTGGAAAAACCTTCGTAAGTTCATTCTGGGATTTAAGTGTGGTTTCGACCACTCGTAGCTTTACGTAAACTGGATATAAGTCATTTTTTCTCTACTACATAACACTGGGATCGATTTATGATATTGGAACATGACCAAAACATTATAGCTGGTGAATCTAGTGGAGAGGAATCCTTCGTGTTAGTTATATATGCATTCTCTGCTTGAAACTTGAAGTAAATATGTGTTTGATGATAGTAGAATTAGTTTTATAATAGCAAGATATTATACCAGTAGTTATTAAGTAAATAAACACTGGTGAACATGAAATATGAGAGAAGGTGATGAGCCCTGCCTGATGGGATCATTTACTATCACCAAATGCCCCTGTTCACCTAGTAGTAAGGGTGTACCTTAGCTGTACATACCCATTTCTAATTTATTTAGTTTGGTTTTATTTTGAAATTAAATCTGGGTGTGACATAAAATAAAAATATGCTGCACAAATGATGTTAGGTAAGGAAAAGGGTAAAAATGTCAAAAACTTTATTCATTGAATACTTAAAGCTATAATTATGACTATATAGACTATTAAAAAGAGAGAGGGAAGTAGGGGTCCAAGACCTCTTCCTGTTATACAATTTGGGTGTGGAACAAGTAATTATCAAAAGAAGGCACCATGCCGGGAAGGCTATGTAGCAGTAAGGCAGTGAGGTGAGGCAGCTACTTATTTGAGAAATGCTTATTTTATTTACCTTATAAGCTGAGCCAACTTATTTTATTTGAGGAATACTCAGCTGATTCCTCTACATTTAGCATGGAACAAGTTTGTGTCCAAGACCTCTTCCTGTTACTCAATTTGGCTGTGTGTAACCAAACTAGAAGTGCTCTACAAATCAAGGGACCCAGAATGTGGAATGACCTCCCGAATCATGTCAAAGGCTGTACCTCTCTCAACCAGTTTAAGAGTTAAACCAAGTACTGCCTAATTAACTCCATGTAACCTAACTTACCTCCTAAATGTCAACCCATGTCTTGCTATTTTTTAAACAACGCTGTTCACCAACATGTGCAATTGCTGATTTATGCTATGTTAACCCCCCTTTTTGTATTTTTTATTTCTTCTTTCAACACAATTTATACCTAATCCCGATTACTATTAAGTTTTAGTCTGTGTTTTTTCCCCCACACCTTGCCCGAAATGCTATGAGTATTAGTGGCTTTAGGTATTGTATGTACTAGCTCTGTCTATAAATCCAACATTATGTTTGTAAATCAACTGTATGTACTTTTCCTGAATAAAATGTATTTATTATTTATTTTTTAATCAGTAAGTATTAAAAGAAGGCACCAAGCTGGGAAGGCTATGTAGCACCATTGTGTGTAACAATAAACCAAATTTTTTTAACAAATAATGCACCTGTATGGGAAAACAAATCCTGTCAGCTGTAAAAATATTGATGCAGTTATTTAAATGAAAAATATAATGAAAGAAATATTACTGGTTTATTTTTATCCTATCTTTTTGTACTGTACAGTATATCCAAGGAAGTGAAAAATTGAGACATAATGCACAATTTAATGAATGATTAGCATGGATTAGTAGTTCAAAAGAAATATGACTTGTATTACATATCAACATGAGATCTTAATGATCCATGGTCAACATGATTTAATAAGAATAATACAGTACTGTATTTGTAATAATACAAACTATAATTTAAAATCTTTATTACTTATTTTTTTATTAAGAAGATTAGGTATACACAGCAATGTGCTGCTACCCTATTCTATATGGAATATTACACAGTGTAGATAAAAAACTAGCTATAAGTTTGTCTAATTATCCCATCTCACAAGATGGTTAGACATACTGTACATGGAATCAATTTAGAAAATACCAGCCTCAATACAAAAAACAAATCAACTCTGACTAAACAACTCTAAGCAATTTTCACAAGAGGTAAGCACTGAATCATGGAAACATTATATTATAATTACTCTTACCAGTTTCTACAAAACTCCTCTCAAACAATGTATTTTTAAACATGTTTAGGTATACACAGCAATGTGCTGCTTCCCTATTCTGTCTAAAGGACCACACAGTGTAGATCAAAAACCAGCTACAAGCTCATCCAACATCATCACCTCACAGGATGGCCAGTCATACATGGAATTAGGAGAGAACAAAATACTTAATGCTGATCTATTAGCCTCCACTGGCAAAATCTGGGTGCAGCACAAGAATATCTTCCAATATTCCTGAGTGTATGAAGTAATTACAGAGCTCAAAATACCTCATACCATTTGGTATGAAGTCACTGATAACAGGACAATCACAGATATAGTGTTGGAGAGTATGTTCTCTCAAGTAGGACTGAAAACATGTTTTTTTTCCACCAAGAGGGCTATAAACCCATGGAACCACCTACCCGCTGAAGCCGTAAATGCCAAATTCCAGCGAAAAAATATCATTAAGACAATTGGCGGGCCCTTTAACAAGCCGCCGGCTTTCTGTCCTCTTCGAGGTCACTAGACAGTTAGTGGCCCTTGGGTAAATTCAGTAAATATATACAATAATTGTCAGCGAATCTTCCGAGCAACAAGGACAGCTACACAGTATCTCTTAGAATTACGTAGGTAAACAACAAATGTAACATATTTGTTTACTACAATGTCGGTGCTGGCTGTAGAAGTTGAAAAAACATTGTTTTACTTCGAAATATACTAATTTTATAAGAAAATTCGACGTAAATAGGAGGCAGTAGAGCTCCGATAAGCCAGCGCTAAATCTTCAATATGAAGAATGTTGCTGCTCTCTGATTGGCCACACGAAACACAGTAGTGACCTCTATCGGCACGCAGGTGAACCAACAATTTTCTTCCTAAGTATACCTTATTTAATCGCACCTAAGCATCTTCTTAGGGCGCACTTAGGAACCTTCGTAGCAAACCCACTTACGAAGTAATACACAGAGCTTCCTGAATCTAGGTCCAGAGCTCAACCCCCGCAAGCACAAGTAGGTGAGTACAACCGCACATTTGAATAGTTTGTTTTATGACAACTCCTCAAGCTGAATGTTCACCCTTCACACATTTCTAACATATTTTTTTTAAAGTAAAACACATGCTTCAATATATCACCCACCAAATAAATATTAGTGTTATTCTTGTAACTTAAGGGATGCATCAGGGAAACATCTCGTTCTCTGTACAGATAACATTTTTAAAGTGAAGACTGACTTAGGCTGTCTTCAATATAACATACACACCAAATAAATGTTAGTGTTATTCCTTGTAACATAACGTAACGGATCCAATGGTATTCATTTCATTACATAACGTGTGTGTGTGTAGATTTTTTTTTAGTTAAAATCTCAGATGATGAATGAGCCAGTCAGTCTGTCAGTCAGTCAGAAGGGACATGGTATTTATTTCATTTCATAACGTGTGTGTGTGTGTGTGTAGATTTTTTGGTTTAAATCTCAGCCGGAGCATGCGCGCGCGGAGATTGACACAGCCTCTCATCATATTATCTGATTACTAATTGGAGGCGTTGAGCTATCGGTTGATAACACCATTTGGATGTGTATAGACAACTCTTGATAAATGTTGTCTCGCACTGCGCCAAGATTCTTACTGAAGTGTATGAATGAAATGTAAGAGTATAAGGACCTTGTAAATACAAGTCTTTACAAGAGTTGGTCGAAACCACTTTGGGAATATTTTTTCTATCATGTGATTTCTGTGAGAGATAAGAGCTTGGATAAGTCAAATGAGTAATGTTATTTGAACGTGGATTATTATCATATGTAGTGTCTAACGCAGTTTCACAATTAAGTTTGGGTAAATGGATAAATAAAATGCTTTGTAACCAACTAAAATATATAATTTAAACTAGCTAAAAATTAATTTCTTGTCAAACAGTAATGCAGTTAATAATACGTAACAATGAATTAGTTACTGAAAGAAACAAACAACAACAAAAAACCGAGATATTGAAATGAGACAACTAAACATGTAAAGAAAATTATTTGAACTTGTAATAAACACAAATATGAGAGGTTATACTGACTGGTTATCAATAAGTATTTACATAAAATAGGTTACGATGTAAGATGATATAAAGACTAATACCTCGTGGGAGGGACGTGGTAGTACCACCAAGGGGGTTCTCTCTCACAAGATGTGGGCCGTCTCTCACAAGGCGACTCTCACACAAGATGTGTCTCACAAGATGTGTCTCTCTAACAAGATGTGGGCCGTCTCTCACAAGGCGACTCTCACACAAGATGTGTCTCACAAGATGTGTCTCTCTCACAAGATGTGGGCCGTCTCTCACAAGGCGACTCTCACACAAGATGTGTCTCACAAGATGTGTCTCTCTCACAAGATGTGGGCCGTCTCTCACAAGGCGACTCTCACACAAGATGTGTCTCACAAGATGTGTCTCTCTCACAAGATGTGGGCCGTCTCTCACAAGGCGACTCTCACACAAGATGTGTCTCACTAGATGTCTCTCTCACAAGATGTGGGCCGTCTCTCACAAGGCGACTCTCACACAAGATGTGTCTCACAAGATGTGTCTCTCTCACAAGATGTGTCTCACAAGATGTGTCTCTCTCACAAGATGTGTCTCACAAGATGTGGGCCGTCTCTCACAAGATGTGGGCCGTCTCTCACAAGGCGACTCTCTCACACAAGGAATTAACACACTTGTATGTGGAGAACATGTCTCCGAGCTCTTCTTGTGGGACATTTGGGGCTTGACTCTAATTATTTAAAT